ACACATATATACATATATATATTAGGTTAACAAATATGTTTGTTCATTAATTGTTTCCCCATACAGGGCCAGAAATAAATTGAAAATTGAAATGAAAACTTAATTTTTATGAAATAAAAGGTGCCAATGTGGTAACTGGGTAATACTAATAAGGCTGGCCCCTTCTGTTGTGTGAAACATGATGATTGATAGTTGAATAATGGCGTAAGAACAGATGTAGCTGTTCTTGTTCATTAGTTAAGTGTTTACATAAGGTGGCACACACCAAACACTTGAAATTCTCAGTAGACCCATTGTAGACTGTAAAAAACAGAGGAAAAGAAAAAAAGAAAAAAAAGAAAACAAAACCTTCCTGACTGAAATACAGAGGTCAGTTTGAATTAATGAATATGCCTTAGGATTTACGATAATGCTAATAGGGCTTAAATACTTAACTTACAACACTGCTCCATTGGCCAATTGTAAAAAATAACAACAACAACAACAACAAAGTTATCATCAAAGAAAAAGAAATAAATTAATCAGTTGTTCTTTATATTAATATTAAAATTCGGAATTAATAATACAGCCCAAATGCAAATTATATAGCCACCGTTTCCCATTTATAATACAACATTGATAATAATACATTGACAAGACCAAAAGTGATAGTACAAACATTTCTAAAAACCAAAAGCAAATTTTATATAAAAGATTTAAAAAAAAAGTATAGTCTTTGGTTGGTTGAAATCCAACAAGTGTGAGTGTAAAAACACCAATGGCATAGAGCCTCTCCCAACTGTTGTACCACAACAAATATGTAACCCGCAACGCTGCGTCCAGCGCAGGGATTGTTGATGTTTCCAGATCAACATGTGTCTCTGTCTACATGACCAGTGTCCTCGTAGGGTAAGTGTTGATGTACTTGTGGCTCTGCTCCGAGGCCAAAGAGTGCTCCTCTGTTTTCCCGCAAGTCACCTGTTCCCAGGAACTCAGCTGCTGTTGGCAAGACAAAGAGGATGATCAATTTTTAGCCTGCAATCACCACAATTTAAGTCTTCTTTTTTTAAACTCAGATCAATAAATACAAACGTATACATACCTGTAGTGGGCTGCCCATGCCTCTGCGTGTGAGGTGGTAAGCTTTGTGTCCGTCTTCACTCAATAATGAGCTGGTTAGTAGGTCCTGAAGGAAAATGTGGAAAACGTATCTTAACAAGAGAGGTCACACTGATTTGAATCAAATACCACAACTGTACAGAAAGTACAGTCGCACAGGAAGCAGGGATGAATCTTAGTGAGGACATTTAGGGGACTGTTGGGTACTTACAGGTACTTCCTGTGCAGGGCCATTGGGGGAGAAGAGCTGTGTGTGAAGATCTTGTCCTTCCCACTGCATACATGGGCTCCTCTCACATGGGGATTCCACCTAAGACCCAAAACACATCATGGTCACGTATCGTACATCATTACCATTAATGATCTTCCTCGACTACAGGGACTTCTAAATATTCCCCATGTTGATCAAGAGTTTGTTGCAAAACTGAAAGAAACTCATTTACCCACATTTGCTACCACAACTGCAAATTGAAAGTACACTCCAATTTTAACATTTGCTTTCTCAACATAAAAACTAAAACTTAAGTCTCACATTTGTCTGCATGTTCTTTTGTCGCATATGTGTACGTGCTTATGTTGAGTGGAAAGTACCTCTTGTTTTATCTTCTTCAGAGGCGGCTGCTCAATCGCACACTCCATTGGCTCCTGCTTGATGCATTCTACCATCTGCTGCTCCAAAGGGACATTCTGGAAAAGACACAAATCCTCCAGTGAGTCTCAAGGACACTATAGCGAGCACAACAGAGGTTAACATAACAAATTCAACACTCAAGATATTTTTCTCTTTCTCACCAGTAGTTTGAGGGGTCCATACTTGGCTTCCTGCAGGGCCAGGGCTGACCTGAAGGGTGTGGGTGTACAGGGAGACGACTCCATGATCAAACGACGAATGTTTGGAGTTCTGAACCTGGAAAAGAGAAAGAGAGAAGATTGTTTGTAAAGCCTCCTATAACAAAAACTATACTATACTATAATAAAATACATTCGCGATAGAGCTACTCACATTTCATTCTCTTTCTGGGGCCTGAGAGTGTGGTCGATCAGAGGCTTGGAGTCGACAGGCGAGCTCATTGGTAAACTGTCGTCGGAGTGTTCTGAGCTCATTGACTGGTTGAGAAACTGTGAAACAGAAGGAAGAAGGCCAATCAATCAAAGTGGCTTGACAGATTTATTCGAAAGCAGTAACAATCTGGCAGATCATGGGGGCACACTTGGTTGAAACTACAGACATGGAGGGGACAGAAAAGGAAAGGAGAGAAGCGGACTGGTGCATCAAAAGATGAGTTATAGATGAAATGACGGAAACAAAAAAGATGGAAAACAACAGCAGAAAAATTGGGAATGATTGGTTGTTGCTATCGTCAGGTGGCAGGTTGGTGATTGGATGGATTCTGGTCACACGCAGCTACTTTAACTACCTGTGAGGGTGAAAAGGGCAGGTTTCTGCCTGGTGAAGGCTTGGGAGTGGAGCAGCTGAAACCAGCCCATGCTCCGTGAGCAGTTCTTGAGCCCTGATTGGGCAACACCCTGTCTGTTCTGAGAACACGCTTATCCAAGAGCCCACGGGTAGTGGCCTCATCCACTGAGGAGAGGCTCTAGGAAAAGGGTGGGAAAATATGGGTCAAGGCCCACTGAAAAATTGGTAAAATCTATGTCGCTAATTGCTACGCTATCTTTTTTCATCTTGACACAGTCAGTCACACAAAAGTGAACAAAATGTCATCTTAACATTTGACCCTAAAGACAAACTAAATAGAGATACTTACCGAATCAAGGACAGATTCCATGAACTCTGGCATAGTATTTGAGAACGCCGGATTGCTGTGATGTCTATTGCTGTTGCTGCTGCTGTTGTTGTTGTTGTTGTTGTTGTTGTTGTTGTTGCGGCCGTTATTGTTGTGGGCACGGCTTGCGGAAGCACTCTCCTCAGGTAGGCAGCTCTGGTCGAGAGGCAGGGCAGGGGCGGCGGCCTGGTGGTGAGGTAATAACATTGGCACACCCTCTGAGCTGTTTGTCACAGAGCTCTGGCTGGCCCAGCTTGGATAGGGCAAATTCATCTGGGGGAGAAAAAGGATATAAAGAGTGAGCACTAGAACTAACAAAGTGATAACCATCAGAAAATATGAGCGCAGGAGGTTGAGTGTAAAAAAAAAAAAAAGTGTCAAACAAGCACAATAGAGAAAATGCAAGCCTGACAATAAGGGAAGAGGTGTAAAAATGAAATGAGAAAAAGAGAAGGAGAAAAGGAACTTTAATGTAAAGAGTGACAGAAGCGCTGGGTTGCACAAGGGGTCACGCACACACACAGAAATGGTGATAAGGTCTTATTTCATCACTTTTGCAGAAACAGACCCCCCAGATGTTTCCTCCTCCATGTTCACACAAACACACACATCCAACCACTGTCCTTAAAGCCAGGGTCAGATACACAAGCACATGCACATAAACTGTGCTATCACACTTTCTAAGCTCCACCGCACCAACACTTAGACAGACATACTCACACACACACACACACACACACACAAAACCTACTGGTAGTGACGGCTGGCCTCTCAGCTCATCTTCTGTAGACATAAGTAGCAGTTCGATTTCTTTCACCCTCTGCTCCTTCTCAGGGTCCTCCTCACTATAGTGTCTCTGAGAAAAAGAGAGCAAGAGGCAGATTTTAGTGACAATTCAAACCTCTTCAGCTTCTCTTCTGACAACCCCTCCCGTTGCCTCACTATAGCGAGCATTTACACTGCGTTTTCTTGCTGTTCTTACCTGTATAGCAGCGGTTCCATGCTGGGGAATGTTCAAGATGTTCAAATGCAAGGCCATGGGGTACGGTACCTGTAAAGCCGATCAGAAACACGTCCACGTCAAATGAATGAATGGCCTGCAGCTACACAATCAGCATCATTTCATTTTCCTCCAAGCCTCCCAAGTTTTGGTTTAAAGCCCCACTCACTCGGTGTGTGTCGATGTAGGTGTAGTTGAGTGGCGACAAGGGAGGCAGCTGCGCGTGATTATTGGGCGAGTGGTGGGGGAAACCCATGATGTGACTGTTGGTCTTGACGTAGCCATGGCTGATGGAGAGTGAGGAGTTGTTGTTCTTTGACGAGCTCTGAAGATAGCCCTCCTGTTCCACCTTCCGCCTCATGGTGGAGTTCCAGTGGTTCTTTATAGCGTTGTCAGTCCTGGAGGACACGAGTATCACATGTTAACTCACAGGCTATTCACTATAAAACAATGTATGCAGAATGTAAAAAAGCTTTCTGTGTTTTTTTTTTTTTCTGTAAAGACCCTGTCTTTTATGTTCTGTATGCTCACTTCAGCGCGGTTCTCATTTGTTTCCTCTCTTTTTATTCCTCCTTCTGTGTCCTCCCCTCCATTTCACCCTCTCAACCACAGCATTGCACAGTCAACCAACAAGGGTTCAGTGATTCATCTAGCTTCTCCTTTTCCACCTTCCACCTTTCTCTCTTTTTCAATCTCTGCCGTACCTGCCAGGGAGCAGCTTAGCAATTTCGGCCCAGCGGTTGCCCAGCTTCTCATGTGCCTGGTAGATGATCCGGTCCTCCTCCTCAGTCCACGACGTCTTCTTCACCTCTGGGTTCAGGTGGTTGTGCCAGCGCTCGCGGCACTGCTTGCCGATGCGGCCCTTCAGGTGCTTGGCGATGACCGACCAGCGCTTGGCTCCATACTTCTGGACCAGCTCAATCACCTGGGGTGGACGTGAGTTGGTGTGTGAGAAGAGAGAGAATGAGGAAAGACCAGAGGGGAGGAGGAAGAGCGTTGAAAAGGAAGAGAAGTAAATGGTAGTGGAGGGACATGAGGAAAGAGGAAGGAAGGAGCAATAACAGGGAGGAGCGGGAGAAGTAGAGGGGGTACAGAGTAAGAAAAATAACAAGGCAAAAAGATCACAGGTGTATGAGGGGTAGAATAGAGAGAGAAATGAAAAGAGAGAGAAAATGACAATAAAAAAGTTAGTTACCCAGATAAATCACAGAAGCACATACACTGTGTCACTGAATGCTTCTCCTCTCCTCCCTCCTTCCCTCTTTCTTTATCTTTCAACTTGTAGAGGTGATTGAGAACACCTGGTGGTGAGCAGTGAGGGAGTTTCCATTGGAACGTTAGCCACTCTGCTAATCATTACAGTGGCATCTGGGTGGAAATATAACTCCTCTCAATAAATACCTCACAGGTTGTAAAAGACTAAACATGTTACGTGTTGAGTAACGGCAACTTTTTGGGAAACTAAAAATGTGCAACAGCAGCGGAGGAGTTGCTACAGAATGGTTGCTTTAATCACACAGGAACATAAAGTAATTGTTTGGGGTTTTTTTTTTTTTTTTTACTCTGGATTACACTTGATTGCCTGTTTCCTGTGAGTAGTGTACAACCACAAAAATATCACCAAATGCAACATAGCTCTAATAGTGTTGTGTCAAAAGGTCATTACTGATGTCTCTCGAGTGCAGAAGCCTCTTTATGTAGATATTATGAAGTTGTTATGATTAATTTGAGCACAGCTCCTGTGCTACATCACAAGTGGTTCTCTGTTGCTACTTAAAGATTTGGCTATAATCTTAGATACATGTGGTTTCATCACTGGTTGTCAATATTGTGTGTGTGATGCATTAAGTCCTGTGTGCATTTTAAAGTTTTCATTAAGGTCCTAAAAGGCTGTTTTCTTACCCTCTGGTCCTCCTCTTTGGTCCACGGCCCTTTGATGAGTTCTGGGTTAAGAACCTTCTGCCACCTGTGCTGGCACTGCACATCTGTGCGATTCTAGTGGGTCAGACAGCAAGCTGGTTAGTAATCATCCTTATATATAACTATAGGAGGTTACATGCATAGAAATAACAAAAAATATATAAATAACAAAAATAAAACAATGGTTTGTCGCCACTTTGCCACAAGACTATGTTTTCAAATGCTGCTTATGTTTACTTCTTGCACATATGTAAGCCCAGACCTAATACTTACAGTTAGTAAGCTTGCAATTAGTTTCCAGTCTTCTGATCCGTGAACCTCAACAAGTTTTTTCAACTTCTCATCCTGAAAAAGGTGAATGCATATTGTAGTTTGTCAGACATAAGACATATGCCACTGCAATCCATTTAAAATCAACGGAATAGTCAGTGAATGTAGTTCACGATGACAGAAAGGTTCCCAGGAACCTTGGAAGGGATCTCTCCTGAGGCCATTTCTCTTGAACGTGTGGGCTGTGTCAAATATTGTGTGTTGAACAGCAGGTTTCGAGTTGTTTGGACTAGTGTCTGTGTGTGTACCTCTTCTCGTGTCCAGCGCGTTTTGCCGAGGTGGCGTTTCCCTGCCTTGGCCAGCGATCCATCATAATCATGTTCATACATCTCAGTCTCCTCCTCATCCTCCTCACTGCTGTAAACACTGCTGGCAGAGAGAGAGAGAGAGAGAGAGAGAGAGAAATGAAACAAGTGGAGTTGGGTTGTGTGAAAAAGAATAGTGGCAATAATAGCAAGGTAAATAATAGCACAATAAGTACCTGTCCATTTTCAAACTACTCCCTAATCATCTCTTTACAGAGTGCATAAAGAACTCGGCCCACTCTTTAACTCATCAGGTGTCAACACAGACAGAACCAGTCATTCTTGAAGGTTTGGGTGCAGGCTTTTAGCCAAGACACCCACAAGGGGAGAGAGAGAGAGAGAGAGAGAGAGAGAGCGGAGAACAGCAAGTGGGAGGGAGGGGGGACGGATGAACAGGTTCCAATGTTTTTGGTTTCCACAGATACTGGGATTGGCATATGTGATCATAATTTCGTGACCCTGGCGTGTTCAGACCTGCAGTGGCATTGTACAGCACAGCCATGCATGCACACACACACACACACACACACACACCCACACACTTGACACAGACTGGTTGGTTAACCAATCAGAAAGTAGAGCATGGACAACGTGGAAGCTAGGTAGGGTACTGTGGTGTCATACAGAGCAGCAGGTGAACAGGAACCCCTCTGAGGTGTGTGTGTGTGTGTGTGTGTGTGTGTGAGTGCTTGTACTACAGGATATTTACAGTGTAATATCTTCCTTATTTTTAACCAAAAGTAACTCATTAACAACACCGTGTAAAGTAAAAATATGTATAAGCCTTTTTAAGTTAATTAGCATGCAAATCATTTGTGAGCTGTATGGGCTGTTTGCGTGCACAAACAAGCAAATGAAATACAATGAGTACACAATACTGATCTTGAAGGTGATGAATCAACTGAAAACTGCATCATTATCATTGCTCTTATCTCAGTCGGAGGGGTGGTTTTCATGCATCGCACTTTCGTTCGGTTATCTGTGAATAAACTATGAGATTAAACCAATAACCCGCAATGACACTATCATTGGTAAAACTCGGTGAGAAACTTGTCACGCAAGTAGCCAGGTGGCTTTCGGAGGGAGCTGGTGCTGATCGATCAAGAAAGAGTACTAAACGGCGGTGTATCAAAACAAAGGAGTACACAGAAGGCAGAATCCTCTCGAAACAAGTTGCTCGTAGAGGACGCGGTGAAAGCCTAGTTTCCAAAATAAGAGTGAGCCTCGCTATCAGAGATGCTGCGGCAACATTCAAGGGTGTAAGCAGGTTTCTTCAAGGCGGCTTTAAAATGAACCGTTTGCCAGCTACACGGGTGTATAAGGTCAAATCTGCAAGTCAAGAAAAAGAGCGTGCGAATGTAAATATATGTGTGTGGGCTCACTGGGTGATGGCCACCGGAAAAAACCAGGCCAAATAAAGTATTTTTAAAACCTTCATGTAACTAAATTTGAGACATGAAATTGATTGTTGCAATACATGGCCTGAGTGCGTTTAGACAGAGACAGACCGACGCCATGCTGCATTTTGTATTAATTGTAGGCTCCCATTAAAACCAATGTCCACGCACTGTGTTGTGCACAACGTGGCACGCGCCTGCCCACCCGCCTAACGTTATTGTGTGTGTGTGTGTGTGTGTGTGTAAAAGAGAGAGAGACAGAGAGAGACAGAGGGAGAGACAGAGGGAGAGACAGAGGGAGAGAGAGAGAGAGAGACCCCTTTCTCCCTCTCAGCACTGACAGCAGCGCGAGGAGCGCACATGCCAGATGACCACCACCTGTCATGGGCGCGCGAGTGAGACAGCCACACCACCACTCAGCTTTAACGGACAACAAAACCGAAAGGCTCACAATCATAACAATAAACAATAAAACTTCATTCAAATTAACATAGTCTGTCAATAAAATGCAGCCTTAACCCGTAAACTCACGTCGTATCCAGCAGAATTGATGGCTAACGTAAGAAGAAAACACCGTAACGTAACGCAAGAACTACATAAAACACTCACATAGAAGTAAGAAATGAAGTTAAAGAGCATGCAAATGAAAGAGTAATCTGTCCGTTTGAGCTTACCTGTTTCTCGGCCGCCGAGCCATGTTAGTATCTGTAGAGCGGCTCGCAGGTTGCGCTGAGCACGTACTTTCGCTATGTGCGCTGGGTTTGTTCTCCCTGCTGAAAGGCAGGTTGACATTAATTTAAACACAGCCGTCTCGACCAGCGCTCCTCCCCTCCTTCGCATCCCGGTAAATTTGGCGCTCTGGAACGCGTATGACCGACCGCGCATGTGCAGTAGACCAGAACCAAATGAGTACTTTGCGTGCCGTCGGGCGTTTGGCAACTAAGGTTTGAACGTACCTGGGAAAAGTGAAAATAATTGGATCATATCGAAGAGAGTGACTGAAATTATGATAAAACTACAATATGTTTTTTTAGAAAGCATATTTACATGTGCTTCTCTGGCTGAGAAAACCCACTTACTGTCTAAGCAACATCGGCGTACACTCCATAGCAAAATCTAACGTATACCTCAAAATTACACAATACAAATGTCATTATAAAAAAGGTCGGTCAATAACACACTGCAATTGAAAAATTGGTACATTGGGTGTTGGTGGGATAATAATGATGCTTCAATATTACACTGTAGCATTAAGCACTACTGTGTGCAAAGTAGAGGTGTGCGAAAATTACGAAGCGTCCGCGAAGGCACCACAGGCTTGTCAAAGGCGCGTGTTCCCTGGCTGTCCGCGCTTCGAAACGCTTTTTTTTTTTGTCAACAATTTTCATGAGTTACTTCTCTTCTGGTGAAAAGGAGAAGGAAACTAATGAGTCTGGACAAAGTAAGCAATTGCGGAGTGGGTTTCTGGCATGCGAGGAAAGTGAAGTTACAATGCTTTCTGTGCTCGGCTACCTGTTTGTGGAGCGCCTGCTGGTGTTACAAACAGATGTTTGTCAGTGATAAACCATGCGAGACCTTGGTCTTATCGTCCTGCGATAAAAATGAGCTTTTCTACTCGCCCAGACAAAGAAAGCTAATGACATGCACTGACACTTTTAAGTGGGGATATGTTGCGAGTAACTCACAAATTTCACAAGTTTTTTTTTTTTTAATCTGCAGCTTGCTGGTAATGTCTGAGCACCGCTCCAAAATAATCCACATTTAAATTAGGAACAAGTGGAGCCCGTTCAGCAACCCTCTTGTCAAGATGAGTAATAATAATGCTCCTTGCTTAGTTGTGTTGCATAACTTCTGCATTAGACTGTATTAAACCATCTGACGACCATGTATTATCATTATTATTATTATTATTATTATTTTGTTTTGGTTGAGTTCTCCATCCTCCCTGCCCAAGGACTGTCCTCTCTCAGCCATTCATTGCAGGGAGGAGGAGGGGGGGCTAATGCTTCATTTGTATAAATGTGTCTTCTCATTGTATTAGTTCCTCCATACGCGACCGTATTGTCCTGGTCACTTGTAATTATCATCACCCCAGACCAGCCTATTGTCCCAGGGCAGTCATCATAATAGTGGCCTGATAAAGGGCTACACACACACACACACACACACACACACACATGACCATGGACTGCAAATTTCACTATTTGAATTAACAGTGTGGACAGAGTGCTCAGTGAAGTGAAGCACTTGGACAGATAGAAATATAAAGATTTACAGGATTAGACATGTGTTAAATGAGGTACAGCAATACAGCTATTTCTAACACTTGTTATGTGTGCTTTATTATTCTTACAACCTAGTGATTCAAATAGCTTTGTTTGTTCAGAGGCTACACATGTGTGACATTAAAGTTGTGTTACTTTTAGTGCCACTGTATCTAATTGCAGGCCTGTGATATAATGTATCACATGGTTGCCTGGTTGCAATCACCTGTAGGCTTTAAATCCTATACACACCTGTGCACACAAACATTGTTCCAGTCATTTTTTTTTGCCTCGAGGAGGTGGTACTTCTAATCTATTCAAATCAAATTTTAATTATATAGCAGCTATTGTGCAGGATTGCAATACACGATGCCCCACACAGAAAGAAAAGTAGGTCAGAGATACCGCATAAACCCCCCCCCAGAAAACATCAGTAATAACCAGTGTCAACATTATTAACACAGTAGCAAATAAAGCAAAATAAAGGACCTAAATCGTAATTCATATAGTTACACAAATATATGGAATTTTGTCTCCACTTTGTTTAAATAAGTATGTATTGTAAGTATTCAGGATTTCTCTGCACAATCCCCCAAAGTGTCTTTTCCCTAGAGGGTAATATTAAAAACAACATTTTGTTATCTGAAACCAAATTGAAGGAAGGGAGCCAGGGTATGCAAATTCCCCTATAGTACTTAGAGCAGGAAGCCTGACTCCCATTCACTTAGGACATTTGCATGGGTGCGATTGGACAGGTTAAGGGCAGGTATTGTGATGGCGGCCCCCTTTGCAAAGCATTGTGTGCACAGGCTGGTTCATTTGAATGATTTTTAATGATGGCTCCTGGGCTTGAGATGTCACCCCACCGGGCTTTCAAATCCAGTGTTGGGAAGGCCAAACATGTGTATTGTTAATTCTCTGTACGTGTGTGTGTCTGTGTATGTAAAAGCCTGTATTGGGGAAGGGTTGATCCAAAGTCAAATAGGTAGTGAATGTGATCTCATGTTGACCAATCGCTAATAACTGTATAAATGTATATACGTACATAGTATAAATGTATATACGTACATAGGATTCCTGCATTGTTCTGCATTGCAGTACATTAAAATCCAGTAATCATTATTCAGAAACAATATCATTTTTTAAAGAATATTTAAATGCTTTATGGAAAGAGTCAAGCAAATATACAATGTCTTTAATTTGGTTTAGGAATGATTACCTTTTAATTTCACAACATGACACTTTAAGGCTCTGACATGTGTTTCTTTATTGGCTTTAGTTGTTTGGACCACCTGTCAAAGACTGCCAAGGGTGTAGGTTTTGCATTTTCCCCGGAGGTGAGTTCCTGTGAAAGGAATGATGCCATGGTGCCCTTGGCAAATTATGTAAAGCATTGCCTCATACTCACTGCCAACTTCTGGGATGGACTTCACCCCTCACCCACTTGCACATAGGCTTTGTCTTCTACGATTACACCAAGATTAATCTGTTTTCAGATTTACATGCTGTTGTTGAGAGATTTGCAATCCACTGCTTTCACTTGATTCTGTAGATACCATTGCCATCAAATTATAAAAACCAAGATGGTTGTTATAATTATTATTATTGTAATATTCAATTACAGAGAAAATAATAATGGATGCAAACCATGAAGTGTATTAGTCATTCAGTGATATAATTTGTACATCATTCAAACAAAACATGCATCCACTGATCCGCTCATTCTTCTAGCAATCTGTCTATCCATCTGTTAAATCCATCTAATCAGCCCACCATTAATTATCTCAGAAATCCTTCGCGCCTGCAACTGATTCATTGATCAGACTTTCCTTGAACTCTGTGGCCACGTCGGCAGCACAGATTTGACCATAGAGTTCTTAAAAGACATTCAAAGGAAACAAATGTTCAGATCCGGTGCAGAGGTGTGAAAAGTCACACCTCTGCCTTGTTGCTGCACAGAGACATATTTAATTCATCTTTAAATTTGACTACGTAAGAACGCAGAAGACAAACAAACAAGCAAAAGAACAACAACATTTATTTGATTTTACACTGAACTAAATGGTTTGAATCAGGTGTTTGTTGGACAATGCAAGAGAAAAGCTGCAAACACTTATAATTGTAATATAACTTTGCCTTTTTCAAAACCAAACACACTAACAAACAGCCTATCACCACTGCAGGTTTAATGTTGAGACTGTTCATCACTTTTCACTTTTCACTCATATGTTCCATTTCCATTCCATATCAGGTGCTGTCTGCTGCCTTTGGTTTTGAAATGTCCTAGAAACATTTTAGTGATGCAAAGGAAGAGTTCCTTCTCTGTCACCTGTGTGACCCTGTAAAGTGAGCATGTTTGTGTCTGTTTACTTGTACTGAGTGCATGTGTTCCATGTGAGCATGTGCAGTTGTTTATTTTGACATGTAGATGTACAACTAAGACTTCAAAAAGCAGGAAGTGGAATTTTAGAGGGGAAACCTCCACCCACACACACTTAGACAAACACACACACACACGCTTAGAGACACACACTCAGGTAAAACTTTATGCAGCATAAATAATACACTTATAAACTATCCCCTCCTGATATGAATAATCCCCTTCTTGTTCTTACTAACCTCTGCCAATTAAAGCTGCTCTTTGTCAAACTGCCAGTTGAAATATGAGCCATGCATTGTGAAAAGGTCTTTACAATTACCTAAGCAGACGTCTTTCTTTATTCTGCTCTATTTTTAGATTGGGGAGACACGCCAAACCTCATATTTCATTTCACCGTGCAGATGTGCAAGTGTATACTTCACCTGCATCACTGGCGTCAGATTACTCTCTGACATTTTCATCATCTTCTCTTTCATTAGCACATAGGCTACTGAAGATGAGATCAGAATAACATATTGTATCAGAAACCACACATGCATACACCTGCACACGTGTAGATATGCAAAGACCAAGTCAAAGATAAACAAGTGCACAAACACAAGCACATGCAGGGGTGCAAACATCTTATTTCTTTCCCTTTTGTGGTAGACAGACTATAAGTGTCTTGTGGTACATAGATTGTAGGAAAAAGTGATGTAACTCATTGGGTGTGTGTGTTTGTACGAGGTGTTGAGTGTAGGCTTGGATGGGTTGGTCTCTCACCATAGGGCATAACCTTTTGACAAAAATGGTTTAGATATTCACACCCCAAGATCATAGGTTGGTTTGAAAGATGTATGGGTGTTTTGTGCAGGCAGACTCTTTCATGTGCTTTCAGTGCACAGCTCTTGACCTCTTAAACTGAAATAATTTTCAGCGCAGAGAGGAAAAGGCTCTTAACCACTTTGTCATTGTTCATCTGTTATATTGTGCCTCCCTATTCACATTAATAACACATCAGCATGAATATGAATTTTGTGTTCCCTCACACATATAGGAGAACAGTGGTTGACTGCATGCAGGTCAACTATATCCACACTATTACCCCAACCAACCTCATCATTATCGTCATGAAGGTCACTTTTTGTAAGAACAGGACTAATGACAGATTCAGGCACTCTTTTTACTGTTTACTGTGTACCCTAATCAATAGATCTTCATTCTGCTCTGTACTAATGAAACTTACATCTCTTATATTTCTCGATCTTAGTCATTCTAATATACAGGTATTATTCAGCTGCTGATAATAAGCTGTGTAAGCGTTAACTGATTCAAAGTCAGTTTCTCTCTGTCAGACAGAATGCAAATTGTGAAGCTTGTTTGGGAGATCTGATCTCAGGCCACATTGGTGGAACTGTGACAGGAAGGTGTCAGCACCCCTCTTAAAAATGGAAATGAGTGGAATGAAAACAAGTTTGTTTTTCAAAAGACACAAATACGTGACAATTAAATATTTGTTTTAGGTATTGTATCTATTTCTGAGGCTGCAGAAACTAATCTGATGTGCCCATGCACTGCCGGGCTTGGGGAGTAACCGATTACATGTAACTGAGTTACATAATCGGGATACCAAAAGTGTAACTGTAATCGATTATTGTAATCCTTTACAGTTACAGAAAAAAAGTTGAGTTGAGTGTGGTAGATATAGCTATATTTCTTTGTGTGTTGTTTTTATTACCCTTTTCTTTTCCTTTTTAACTTATGTGAAGTGTCTTAGTTTCTTTAAAAAGCGCTCTGTAAATAAATGTAGTATTATTATTTATTATTATTATTAAAAGACATAATCAGATTACAGTTACATTTAGTAAAAATGGGGATTATTTAGCGGGATTATAATTTTAAAAAACTTTTTTTTAAAAACTGGGCAGAGGTCACATTCTTTATTCCATTTTTTTTATTTCCATTCAATTTTTTTCCATCTCCACTTTTTGTCTTTTATAAAGGTTTCATTGTTCTGTTGTCTTATAGAATATACTTTTTTTTTTTTTTTAATACTTTTTTAATGACATTTATTTTATATTTTTTTTATTTTTTTATTTACACAGGTAATCCAAAAGTAACGTAAAGGACCACGTTGCTTTACTTTAATACTTTACTTTAATATGGTGATACATGGTTACATTAAAGTAACCCTCCCACCCTGCCCGCTGCTCGTCACACAGCAGCAGCAGCGGCGGCGGTGACGGCAGCCGGGCAGTGAGACACATGTCACAACAGTCTGTGAACCGATAAACATTTACCCTGGGGGGCCGAGAGAAGACACATAAGCAAAAATGTCTCGGCACAGAAATGTTCGAGGTTACAACTACGATGAAGGTAGATGAACCGGGTGTTGGTGACGGTTTAAAAACGTCAAGGCAAGGCCTCAAACCGCTAACTCGTTAGCCGCGGAGCTAACATTCAGTGTTGTTGATTGTAGCTGTAGCGGCTAACGCTAGCTGGTGTTGTTGGCAAGATAACGTTGCCGTCGTGTCACTTGGCACCCGGTACGAGATAAATTCAACTTTAATACAAGTATCTCAAGCGTTCAGGTTAACGTTACATTGATACAACTTGACGTGATTTGCCTCTAACTAATGTTAGTTAATGTTTATGTTTACTAGTTGGTGATAGCTGCTTAGCTAGCTTGCTAGTGATTTGGAAGAAATGTTACAAGCTTTTAATTCATCGTTATATTGGTATATTGGCATCCACTCACTGTGTTAACGTATTAAAGCCTCCCACGTTGTCAAACCTAATGTGAAGTAGTTCAATAAAAGAGAACCGACTCCCAGTTTACGGTTTGCTGTGCTTTCTGTGAAGTTGCTGACAAGGCAAGGCAACCTGACAGCTGTAACAAAGGACTGTTTCTCTTTACTACAGCTGCATTTGTTCATGTGTCTGTGTGAAGAGGAGGAAGGGACATTTCTTTAACCTCAGTTACATTTTCTTTCTAGACTTTGACGACGACGACATATATGGGCAGTCTGTAGACGATGACTACTGCTGTATATCACCAGCAACAGGTTGGTATCAGCTGTTTTGGTGTGATTAAATGTCTACTTAAACTATACGCTATTATCCAGGCATCACATCTCCTAGTTTCACTTAAGAATAAGCCGATTAAGTAGAGATGTTTTCGGTTCATACAGCGAATCAGTTCATCTACTCCCGTCAAGAAAGGCAAGCACCAAAAGAGGAGCCTTTAGAAGAGGAGGAATATGAAGATGAGTCTGTACCTATGTCCCCTACAATCAACCACGACCTCGACCCTCTTGATCAAGGTAATATTTGAGCCTTGAGTTTGAAAATGGTGGTTTTATTTTCATTTTTCTATTGTTTTCTGGGTCACAAATACGATGTCTGAGTTAATGTCTGTTGTACTCTGTAGCCAAGCTGTATTCCTGCTTGGACCACATGCGGACTGTGCTGGGAGATGCAGTGCCAGACTCTGTCCTGACCCAGGCAGCCATAAGATGTGGGTTTGACCCACAGAAGGCACTGGATGCAGTCCTGTCTGAAGACACCAAGACAGCCGCAGTTACCAAAAGTACCAGCGAAGAGACGACTTCCATAGCAAGAGTTAACCAAGAGAAAGCACCGCTTCCACAAAGAACCAAACAAGAGGCCGTGGCTGAGAAAGGTACGCCCGACGTGGATCAAATTATGGTCATTTTATTGGTCGTTATAGTTACATATAAAGAAATGGTTGTTGGTGGAATTTGAAAACTCTTAAGTTAATTGCCAAACAAATGTTTTTCAGTACTAAAAATGATTGAGATGTTTCATAGGAAGTGCATAATAAGGGTTTGTTTCTTGTTATGAAGCTACTGATAGATCTAGTTTACTTTTTGAAGGAATGATATTTAAATAATTAATACCAGTGCTCATATAAGGCCCGGTCTGTTTGTATCACCTGATCAACAGTTAGATATAGTTCAGTATAGATAGACAGTGATTTTGAATGTCACACATTTGAGCATTTTTGATTACATCTTGAATAATATAATTAAGAATGATTGATAACAACAATGTATTTAAAGAATAGGTAACAGTGAAGTGATCAACATGTGGCTTTTACAGTTTAAAGCACTGTAAATACAAAGAAGGAAGCTGTCATTACTGTGAAGAATGAAAGAGAATTGAGAAATTGCTCAAAAAGCAAAGTTATGGGTTTTGATGTCGCCAACTTTAATAAGGGCATTATTATAAAACAGGCCTAGGTTAAGAACTAAGAACTGGACTGTTGTTCTACAGTCCTCGATGATTGAACGATTGATGATATAACTTGGTGATATTGAAAATATCTAAAACTGTATCCTGACATTTTTGACTCGAATAAAAAATTATTTCAAATATCTTCATTAATATTATCTACTTGACAACCGCCAGCGGTATTCGTCTGTTTAAGTCATGCAAATGTTTAACAAAGTGCCTTCTGTCTGCTCTTGTCCCTCCTGTTTATGGTATGATTCATCTGACTTCTGTTCTGTGATCCTCCATCTCTCTCCTCTTCGACAACTTCATTTGGCTTTTGTAAGGTAAGGAGCCTGCTTGTCTGCTTCTCAGACAGACATTACATCCAAGCAACATAAACCTCAGACTGATGGGTGCAAACATGCACAACCACGCGCGCAAGCATGTGCACCAAACTTACGTGACCTCCTATCGCAACATAACGCTGACCCAGTGGTTAGCAGTTCTGAATCTCAAAATTTGAACCGTCCAAATGTTGGTCCAGATGTTGGTGGTACCAGTTTGGCACAGCTCATGTCTGAGCATGTGCAGAAGAGTAAGATTTCAGGAGTAGTTGACATAGGGCGAGGTTTGGGTGTTCCCTCATTAAGTGCTCTCAACATAGGACCTAATTCACCACCGTCCATTATGCCTAATCAGAATAGTCTTTCGTTGGGAACATTGGCATCTTTAAGCATGCCTTCAGCATCTCTAAGCTCAGCTCCCTCCCTCCTTCCAGTTTCACTCAGTAGTCTGTCACTAAATAACCCCAAGATGACAGCTGCAAGACTCGCTGCTCCTCCTGGGTTTGGGAGTTTTAGTTCGGTCCTCCAGAGCAATCAGCACTCAGTGGGAGTTGGGACTGGAGTCAAAGCCACAATAGCTGATCCTAAGGGAAGCCCATCATTGGCTGATCTAATCCAAGAGCATTCAAACCGCAGCCCAACAAATCCTAACTCCTTCCCTACTCCCAAAAGCAGCATAACTTCTGTGCAGTGTCAGGGGATGCCTGCACAAGCACAAACACTGTCGCTGTCTGAGCTCGCTTCACAGCACCAAAATAAGAATACACCCATTCAATCACAGAGCACCAAACAACCAGCAAACTCGCTCACATTTTCTGATCCAACCAACAATACTCCTACATGCTTAGGTGGAGCGGTCTCGTTGTCTCAGCTAGCCCTGCAGCATCAAACCAACAGTTCCTTAGCTTCCCCTCAGCCCTTCAGCACTGAATCTCGAGCAAATGCACTGAAACAACCACCTGGCGTCTCTGAGCCGCTCTCTTTGTCACATTTGGCATCTGCACACAAAGGCAAAACCTCAACCACCTCAAATGGGTCACATTACTCTCTCAGCACGCTCCTTTTACCAGCAAAACCAGAGAGCGCTGGTGTTCTCGCAGAAAGTACTATAAAGGGTGGGACCATGTGTAAACCCAACCACAAACAATACCATCAAAACTCCAGGCCATCTAATCTGAGACAGACTATTGATTTGAGTGCACTCATGGCCCAGTCAGATGAAGTGAGCCCGCATCACTTCGACGACTTCCCTTCACCGTCCTCTCCAACTCCAGTCGCCATGGGGCTGGATTCTTCTGTTTTTGCAAAACCATCAGTATTTGCTATCACTTTGTCAATTAAAAGCTGCAGACAACAGAAGAGGATGAGGAATATACAGAGGGGAAACATCAGAGGTCAGAGGACAGGAAGTGGTTACCAGGCCCTCTTGTATAAATCTCAAGACAAATCCAAAGAGCACCATACCCCGCTCTCACCAATTACACCGTTCCGCTTCGACACGCCTTCGCCTGACGACATCGTCCGTGCTAATCAGCGCAAAGCTTTCACCAGGTAGATGGGAAATAAAAGGTGCTTAATTCAGTTGCGTGCAAGTTGGTGCTAAATTGGGACGAGAACCTTTTTGGTGGCCTTTGCGCCGCCGATTGAACTAAACTAAAAGAGATGCAGCACTCAAGGTCATCAGTCCTTATGGTACTTTTTAACTGTGTTTCACAATCAGCTATGGAGAAGAGAAACTTTTAGGACCAACAGTACAACAGAAGGACAAACTCGCTGCTGATCACTGCTTAAAGTATTCTGCTAGAATCCCTACTTCTATAGCATTTATCTATCTCTTTTTAATGGAGACAAGAAATCCTTGCATTGCTATTATATACATACTAATTATGTTTACGTTAAACAAAAAACCACTCAGTCACTCTGGCAGCTTGAAAAAAATTGCAGCTAAGTACAATTTCTGCATTTGTTCAGTGTTTTAAGAACTTTTTAGAATAATTTTTTCTCCTTTACTGTAACATTTTTTCTACATTTTAAATTTGATTCTTATTTTTGTATGCTTAGATGGCCGTTGGCTTTTTAATTGACATTTTTGTATAAAAGTAAAGTAGTTTAATCTTAGCCAGGGAAAACTCAAAGTATATCTCTTCTTGCATGGCCTCTTTTCTAGTTTGGAGCTGCATGAACCCTTAAAAGAGAAAAAGAGGTTGATTTTGTTTGCAGGTGTGCTGCAGCTATTGGAATATGGATCAGTTAACCATTGTACTGGTTTACTGCTGCCTGTGTTTGA